CCCTGGCTAGAGCGCTGTGGCATTACAGCTCACAGCAACCTCCAACTCCTGGGCTCAAGCGAGTCTCCTGCCTCCGCCTCCCAAGTAGCTGGAACTACCGGCGCCCACCAAATGCCCAGCTATTTTTTGGTTGCAGCCGGCATTGTTGTTTGGCGGGCCCAGGCTAGATTCGAACCCGCCAGCTCAGGTGTATGTGGCTGGTGCCTTAGCCGCTTGAGCCACAGGCTTTTCCCCCCATTTTTAAAATGTGAACTAGATCAGAAGAATGATAATTTTTTTTTTTTTTTCTGATAGAGTCTCACTCTGGCGCCCAGGGTAGAGTGACAGGGCGTCATAGTTTACAGCAACCTCAAACTCTTGGTTTCAAACAATCCTGTTGCCTCAGCCTCCCAAGGAACAGGTGCCTTCCACAACGCCCGGCTAGGTTTCCTATTTTTCGTAGAGAATGGGTGTTGGCGTTGGTCAGCTGGTGTCCAACTCCCCAGCTCAAGCCAATCACCCACTTCCCCCTCCCAGAGTGCCAGGATTACAAGTGCCAGCCACAGCGCCTGGCCCAGAAGAGAGATACTGTAACTTTTTTATCTTTGAACCCCTGTGGTGTGGTGAAACTCCCCCAAGCCTGCCTGCCTCCACATGTTGCTCCCTCCCAGTCCCATACAAGTCCTTTAGATCTGTAGACCATCAAAGAATAGTTTACCAAGGATTCCGTACTCTGAGCCTAAAAGATCTGAACATAATCATAACTTGTTCAGTTCTTCTTTGGTAACAGATGCTTTGTCTTCAGAAAATTAAGCATAAGGAAAAAGTCAATAGATATTTGAAAAGATTCAGTAGTTCAAAAGAAGGGAAGTGATTTGAGTAGTCAGAGCAAATGGCAATTTTTGCTAACTAATTTGGGAGAAATAGGAAGAAATGTTAAAACAACTTCATTTTCACACTCTAATTTGGGAGGATGTTGCATCAATTGTTTTTAAAGATGGGAAACAATCTGGGTCGGTGCCTGTGGTTCAGTGGGTAGGGCAACGGGCCCATATGCTGAGGGTTGCGGATTCGAACCCAGCCCCAGCCAAACTGCAACAACAACAACAGCAAAAAAAGCCGGAATTGTGGTAGGTGTCTGTAGTCCCAGCTACTCAAGAAACTGAGGCAAGAGAATCGCTTAAGCCCAGGAGTTGGAGGTTGTTGTGAGCTGTGACACCATGGCATCTACCAAGGGTGATAAAATGAGACTCTATCTCTGAAAAAAAAAAAAAAAAAGGATGCAAAATCATCTGAAACAAGTAAATTTTCTTAGGAGAAATGAGCCTGCCAATTTTTTTCTTTTTTTGAGACAGTCTTACTCTGTCACCCTGGGTAGAGTGCCAAGGCATCATCATAACTCACAGCAGCCTCAAACTCTTGGGCTCAAGTGATCCTCTTGTCTCCCTTCTGAGTAGCTGGGACTACAGATACCTACCACAACGCATGGCTAGTTTTCCTATGTTTAGTATTAGTAGAGATGGTCTCCCTCTTGCTCAGGCTGGTCTTGAACTCCTGAGCTCATGCAGTGCACCCTGCCTCAGCATTCTAGAGTGTTAGGATTACAGGCATGAATGAGCCACCTATCCTAGCCTAGAGATTACCAATCTAATGCAACATTGTCAGTGAACTGCTGATTAGATGTGCCAAAAATTACCACCAGCTCAGGAAAATTAACTAGAACTCAGAAAGAACAGGTAATAGATAAAAACTGAGATATAAGGATAAAACACATGGGTTCAATAAACTAATAATTAAATGCAAGTTCCAGGAGATAGTAACAGAGCTGACTGAAAAAATGCAATAACCAAATAGAGGAAAATTTACTAAAATAAAAATTTGAATTCTCAGATGTAAAGAATAAATGAAATACAGTTTAAAAAGAAATGAAAAGGCCAGGCATGGTGCCTCATGCCTGTAACCATAGCATGCTGGGAGGTCAAGATGGTGGATTGCCTGAGCTTAGAAGTTAGAGACTAGCCTGAGCAAAAACAAGGCCTGGTCGCAAGGAAAAATAGAAAAACTAGCCAACAGGTGCCAGTAGTCAGCTACTAGAAGGCTGAGGCAGGAGGATCACTTGAGCCCAAGAATTTGAGGTTGCTATGAGCTATGATAGCAAAGCATTCTACTTAGGGCAACAAAGACTCTGTCTCAAAAAAAGAAAAAGAAAAATGAAAAGATAACCGTATTTAGGCCTGTATGACAATGAAAGCTTTAGAGTTTAAAGAATGGAAATGTCTTCATGTATTGATATATTGTTGGCTGGGTATAATGTTGTATACTTATAGTCCCAGCTACTCAGGAGGCTGATGTGGGAGGAATGATTAAGCCTGGGAGTTCAAGGCTGCAGTGAGCTATGATCATGCCACTTATAGTCCAGCATGGGCAACAGAGCAAAGCCCTATCTCTAAAAAAAAAAAAAAAGTATTGAGACTGAGACAAGAGGATCGCTTGAGCCCAAAAGTTGGAGGTTGCTGTGAGCTGTGATG